GGGGGGGGGGGGGAAGAAGGGGAAGAGAAGAATCCCTGTGATTTCAATCTACTCTGCTTCTGCCTGACTTTAACACTGTTGTACAGGCTGATTGATGCCTGCAGCCATAAAAAGATGGAATTACTTCAGTTGTGGGTTGAGAAATTCCTAGTACATCTATACCCGGTTCTGTTCCCTTTGCAATCAATTGCAGAATGCCTACAGGCTTCAATAGAGCCATGCCAATTTACAGCAGATTAAGATCTGGTCAAAATGTCACAGCTTTAACAAGTTATTAGATGTCTCTCTCCTCTAGCATATATTCATTGATTCAAGAGTCTACCTTCTCCTTATTTAAAAGATCTAATAGACAAAAAGAAAGGAAAAAAATACAGCAATCGTTTTATAGTTTCTTCAGAACCGGATTATTTATACATTTCAATTCTATATCTCTTAACACATGGTATTGACATTACCAGAAAGTCATGAGATTAAAGCTGTGAAATGTGACTTTTGATCCAGTTAAACATGAAATATTTAATATATCAATATATTTTAATTAATTATGTATTAGGGCTGTGCAAAGCATCAGTAGCCAATTTGATTTCAGGAGATTCTGCCTGATTCGGGGACCAAATCCAAATCAAATTGGGAGACCAAGTAAAAGCTCCAAATCAATTTGAAGCATCCGAATTGATTTGGGAAAGCTTCAGAAAAAGATTTGGCTGATTTTGAGATTCGGCCATAGACTAAACAGGCAGCTGAGAACTGCCTCCAGGTAGTAAATCTGTTGGGGTTGTGGGGGAGGGAAGGAAGGGGTGTGGGAGAGGGAGGGATTGGAGCTAGGACACCCAGCCAGGGTGGGGGGCCAGTTACTCATGGAGGAGGGCATGGGATGTGGGCACAGCAGCACTGGAAGCAGGAGCTCTGCCCTGCTGCCACATGCCCAGCTGGGGGAGGATGGGGGTGCAGGCATGGCTCATTCCATATAGATTGTAAGGCCAAAGGGACCTTGAAAGATCATTGCGTCCAGCCCCCTGCACCAAGCAGGAAAGATAACTGAGGGTCAGGTGACCCCAGCAAGGTGACTGTCCAGTCTCCTCTTGAAGAAGATTTCCAGGGTAGGCAATTGCATCACCACTGGAGGGAGTTTATTCCACAGTCTGGACACCCTGACTGTGAAGAAGGTTTTCCTAATGTTGAGCCTGAATCAATCTTCCAGGAGTTTGTGGCCATTACTCCCGGTTTTCCCCTCGGATGCCCTGTTGAACAGTTGCTCACCGAGCCCTTGATGTACTCCCCTACTGTAGTGGTAAGCTGCTACCAAGTCTCTTCTCAGCCTTCTTTTCCTCAGGCTGAAAAGTCCCAGATCCCTCACCCTTTCCTTGTATGGCTTGCCTTTTAAGATTCTGATCATACAGGTGGTTCTTCTTTGAACTCTCTCAAGCTTGTCCATGTCTTGTTAAAGTGTGGTGCCCAGAACTGGATGCAGTATTCCAGCTGTGGTCTCACCAGTGCTGAGTAAAGCAGAAGAATCACCTCCTTGGCTTTGCTGGAGATGTAGAGTATTATTTGCTACAGCATCACACTGCCGTTTATCATCACCCCTAGGTCTCTTTCATTCATGGTGCTAGTCAGTTTGGTGCCGCCAAGCCTGTGGGTGTGTTGGCAGTTGCTCTTCCCAAGGTGGAGCACTTCACATTTCTCGACGTTGAACTTCATCAGACTCCAATCCATCCAACTTGCTAGCCTGTCTAGGTTCACCTATAACTACAGCCTACCTTCAAGTATGACCACACTTCCCCATAACTTGGTGTCATCTGTGAATTTGGCCAGCGAGCTCTTCACCCCCACATCCAAATAGTTAATAAAGATGTTGAGAAGTACTGGACTGAGCACCAAACCCTGCAGCACACTGCTGTCCACTTCTCACCAGGATGACACAGATCCATTCACTATGACTCTCTGGGTTCCATCCTGCAGCCAGTTTCTCACCCACCTGACTGTCTCAGAGCTAAGCCCACAATCCTCCAATTTTCTCATGAGGACACTGTGGGATTCTAAATCAAAGGCCTTTTGGAAGTCTAGGTATACAATGTCAACCTGCTCTCTTGTGTCCAGGTGGTGAGTCACCTGGTCATAGAAGATGTGATTGGTAAAGCAAGACCTGCCCGTGATGAAGCCACACTGGCTGTTATTCAGAATCTTACCTTCTGCAAGCTTATCACAAATAGACTCCTTGATGAACTTTTCTAGAATTTTCCCTAGGATGGAAGTTAGGATGAAATAGGCCAATCAGCCGATTGGCCTATAGTTACCCAGGTCCTTCCTCCTGCCCTTCTTGTGGATGCGCACAACATTGTCCGTTTTCCAGTCCATCCTCAGGGACTTCTCCAGAGCGCCATGAGTTGTGGAAGAGTTTTGCCAGGGATTCCGCAATGACTTCAGCCAGCTCCTTCAGCACTCTCAGATGAAGATCATTCAGTCCCACTGACTTGTATATGTCTAATTTTATTAGCTGGTCATACACCAATATTACAGCAATAGTAGGAATGCAATTATTCCTACCATGCTCATCCTCTGCTCTACCTGGCATGGTTTTCCCCTTGGTCTGGTGAAAGACCAAGGTGAAGTAGTCATTCAGGAGTTCAGCTTTCTTCTGGGTAACCAGCTCTCTGGAGTTGCTGAGCAATGGCCCCACACTCCCATTTGTTTTCCTCCTGTTCCCTACATACCTAAAGAAGGACTTCTTGTTGTCCTTCATTCCTGTTGCTAATATACGTTTGGTCACCACTTTAGCCTTTCTTATTTGTTCCCTGCAAATGTGGGCCGTTGTGGAATAGTCGTCCTAGGGGCCTGCCCTGAGCTTCCATAGTTTATAAGCCTCTTCTTTCTTAAGAGAACCATGATTTCCATGTTTAGCCAAAAGGGCTTCCCAGACCTTCTGTTACCTTTTCTCCCCATGGGAATAGGCTTCCTTTGTGCTTCAAGGATCATGCCCTTAAGGAACCACCATTCTTCATGCATACCTTTCGCCTTTGGCCCCTGGTCCCACAGCACTTGTCCTACTAGTGAGCTAAGCTTGTTGAAATTTGTATTTTTGAAGTCCAAGACTTCAATCCTGCTATCTGATTTGTCTGCCTGGCAACCTCACAGCAGCTGCCCTATGGCACAGCTGCAGCATGGCTCAACAGGGCACC